GGGTATGAAGGTTTAATCAACCATTTGTAAATTATAGTGCCCAATTTTTTGCCATTTGTACTCAATTTTGTTTAAAGTCAAATTTGTTTTGTTTTTATTTTTTATTTTGTTATTTTTTCTCTGCTATTATTGAATGGGTTCTCTGCTTTAATGCCTCACTTTCTTTTTGATCAATCGATTGAGTTCTCTGCTTTAAAAACTCACTATTTTTGCTAATCATTTGGAACAATACTAGAAGTAGCCTATAGCGTGGACTCAAGGAATGCATCCTCAGTTGTAGTTTATATGACTGCTATATCAAATATACATTCAATGCTAGAAAGGTTATTAGTTTATATGACTGCTATATCAAATATCTATTCAATGTTGGAAAAATTGTTAGTTTATATGATTGGCATAGCAAATATCTTCTGAAAGGTTATTCTAAATGTCAATTTATACTTATGTTAAGTTGGATTTCAGTAATATTCTCATTAGAATCATTGAAAGTAATATTTCCTAATTAAATTTTCAAGTATACTTATATAGTTTTTTATGATAACTTCAATAACTTGCATTTAGTGATGTTAAATCTTCCTTTCATCTGAAAATTAGAGCTCTAATAACCTCTTCCTAAAACTTTTACACTTACAGGATTGTTTTGTGCAATTTGTGACATATTGTCCAGTTAATCTCTTTCATTCTATTTGATTCATGCTTTCTTACATGAATTTTATGTTAGTTCATTAGTTTTATTTAAGATTAAATACATATTTGACCTCTGAACTTTGTAATTATTATCACATTGATGCCTAAAAAATTATTTTGTCACTTTGGTACCTAAACTTTCAAGTCATTATTATGTTGGTACCTCTAACTAACGCCGTTAGTTAGCTTTGCTAACATAGTATGAATATCTAATAAGATGCTAACACATGTCTAAAAAGTCAAATTAGCACCACATCATTAATATCACGTCATGCCCACGTCATATTTAAAAGAAAAATTTAGAAAAAGTTTTTAAAAATTCTACAAAATCTAAAAAAAATTTTAAAATTATAAAACAATTTCTAAAAATTTTTAAAATATTCAAAAAATTTTAAAAATGCTAAAAAAGCTAATTTTTTTTAAAACCTAAAAAATTTCTAAAAAGTTTTTAAAACTTCAAAAAAAATTTAAAAACTTATAAAAATTCAAAATAATTCTAAAAAATTCTAAAAAAATGTTAAATTTTTTTAAAAATTTTATAGAAAAACAAAAAATTCTAAAATATTTTTTAAAAAAATTTTTAGTGAGCAAAAATTTTTTAAAAATTTCTCAAAAATTTAAAAATTTTTTAAAAATTTTAAGCAATTCTAAAAATTTCTAAATTTTTTGAAAAATTATAAAAAATTTTAAAATTTATATATAAATTAAAAATATAAATTATTTTTATAAATTATAAAATTATCATAATTTGAAAAATTTTAGAAATTATAATTTTTTTTTAAAAAAAATTTAATTTATAAAATTGAAATTTTCTTGAAGTTAAGAAAAATACAAAAACTTAAATTTATAAAAAATTAGAAATATCAAAAATTTAAAATTTTTTTTAAATTTCTAATTTTTTAGAACATTTTAAATCTGTTATAATTGTTAAAATATTTTCATAATTTTTTTAGATTTTTTTGAATTTTTTAATAATTTTTAAAAGTTTTTATGAATTTTTGAAAATTTTTTGAATTTTTTATAATTTTTAAAAACATTTCAAAACTTTCAAAAAAATTTTTTTCTAATTTTTCTTTTAAAAATAAAGTGGGCATGATGTGAAAATGATGATGTGATATTAATTGAACTTTTTGACACATATCAGTATTTTATTAAATATTCATGTTGCATCAACAAAATTAACTAGCGGTTTTAGTCAAAGGCACCAATATGTTAACCATTTAAAAGTTCAGATATCAATATGATAAAAAAAATTTTTAGGTACCACTATGTCAAAATTACAAAATTCAAGAACTAAATATATATTCAACTCTTTTGTTTAACAAAGTTTGCAATTGCTAAGAAATATGGTTTTCTATGCCTTTCATTTAATGTATGTTTAATTTTAAATGTTTTCTCGGTGCAATCAAATTGTTGGAGTTGTCTCTTTAAACTTAATTCGATACATGAATATTTTCATTGACGTCTGATACTATCATTAGGAAAGTGACTGTTGAAATTTGTTCAAATGTCTTTCCCTTTCTTACTTTTAGCAGCTTGAAATAAATTCATTTGATTTTATTAGCTATATTTGGCTTGTAATGATTTGTTTACATTAGATATTATTTTATATTTATTTATTTTTTTGTTCACAATAAAATTTTGACCTGAGCGAAGACACATAATTTTTTTAGTTATGCAATTAAATTCAACTACAGGCTTTTTTGCCGATAAAGTAACATGCCAACTTGAATTTTTTTATCATGTGACACATATTAAAATAAAAATTATTTTTAATAATTATTATTTAATTAAAATAGAATATGATGTTTTGAACTAAAATGTGCAAAGAAGTCAAAAAATAAATTCACCTAAGCATTCGATCAGGTCATCATCAAAATATCATGTCATCTAATTAAAATTAAAATTTTTATATTGTTGTTAATCATCTTTAAATCAACTTTTAATAAAAGTCGAAAGAGTTAAATTCATTAAAATTTGAATAAAAATATTAAAACTATTGAATTAAAATAATAAAAGACTAAATTTAAATTTTTACTTACAAAAGAATTAAGTTTAAGTGCTAATGTAATGTTTTTTTTGTCAACAATCCAAAAAATACTACCCCTTTTGGGATTAATTGCATCATAGGTACATTTGAATAGTATTCGAAGGTGCAATTATCCCTCGATTACCCTTCAGTTTCTGGTTGGAGATAGCATGATCCAATGTGCAAAACATTACACATTAGACCACATGAAGGCTTTCTGTAATGCCCTCACTAAGCTTTGCATCACTCTTGTAGGTACCAAGAGTGGCCTCGGAGTTAGCCTTGCACCTAATTAGGAAAGCATCTTGGGCCTTCTTCATATTCTCCTCTTTCCCAGCCCAGACCTTAATATTGAGAGCGATCATGACTTTTTGGTTTGGAGCTTGTTCATGAGATTAAAGTTAAGGGTAGATGGTGGCTGAGTTTTGACCGACAAAAGGAAAGGAAAGGAAAAGGAAACGATTGTGAGATGTATTGCGATTTGTCAATTATGAGGTGAGAGTACTAGTGTGTGGTTTGGCTGGCATGAGATGTATTTCGATTTCAGATTTCTAAAGAGACTAGATTGGAGAAGAAAGGTCAAGCGGCGGAAAGAGGCATGAGGGAAATGAGATGAAATTGAGGAGCTAGGTAATTAGGAACTAGGGTTTCAATGTTAAAAATTGAAAAGATATATAATTTTTATTTTAAATATTTAATTATTTAATTTTAGTTTCTTTATCAATTCAGATCTAAAAATTCAACACTAAAAAACCAAATCGTTAAAACCTACTAAACCAAAGATTGAACCAACTTAGAGGCCGTTTGGATGCCAACGCATCTCCGATGAAGTTGCTTTTTGCATAAAAATTATGTCAAACGCGTTGAATTTGTATTTGGTTTTCGTTATTCGGCATGATTTGGTACTTTTTTTTACTGGATTTCTTTGATGCAGTTCGTAAATACACCATTCTTTTTTTTTTTTTTTTAATTTTTTTATCCATACAATTTATTATAAAAATAAAAATATCCTTACATTTCAACTTTTTTTATTTAGAATAATTTTGTTAATATTTATATCAAGAAATAATTTTATTAATTTAATATAATAAAAAATATTTTCTAATATATTACTGTTTTTATTAATTTTTAATTATTTAGTGACAAATTATTATTTGACATAAAATAATTTAGTTTTTTTAATAATTTATTAATTTTATAAGCATAAAAAAATTTAATTTTTTATTTCATATAATTTTTAATTTAATATTTTTAATAATATTTTTTATTATAATTTATCTCATTATTATTATTATATTTACATTTAAATATATATATCTACCACTAATTTTAATATCATTATTATAATAACTAATTTTATTTTTATTATAATTTTTAATTTTATCGAAACTTATTTTTTCGTACATTTAAATGGATCCTTAACCTTATTAAACAAAAGAAAAAAAAAAAAAAAAAGAGACTTGATTTACTTTGATTGAGAGGGTTTTTTTTTTTTTTTTTTTTTTCATTTTAAAGGATGAATGCACAGTCGAATAAAAGAAATGAAATTCTTACCCCACCGTCAGCGAATAAAGTTAATAAATGAAAAAAAAATAATAATAATAAAAGCTAAAGGGAAAAAAGTTCCAAATTGTAAATTGCTTTTACAATTTTTTTTTTTAATTTTATTAATTTTATTCGTTGATGGTGCGGTAAGATTTTCAAATTGGCTATTTACTTGCGGGATGATCTTGCCAGTTATCCACCAACTTCCCAAGCTTAAAAGAAAATCACTGTCTTCTCTCTTTATCTGACCTTGCTAATTCATTTCTCTCTCACTGAAGAAAATTGACGATGGAATTACCTGAAGAATGCTGGGAATCAATTTTTAATTTCTTACAATACAACCGTTATTTCGATCATTTCTCTTTAGTTTGCAACAGATTTCTCTCTATCACCAATCCTCTCCGTAACACTCTCACAATCACTGACCCAACCCTGGAATCCCTCCCTCATCTCCTCCTCCGCTTCCTGAACCTCAACACAATCATTTTCCGCCACTTCCAAGGCAATCTCGATTCTGTTCTTTCCCAGATTTCACGACCTGGGTTTCCTTGAAATTCCTTGACGTTTCGAACCAAAAGAGTTTTCCTTTATTGGGTTTGAGACAGTTGGGTTCCAAAATAAGGAATTTGACAGAATTGAATTGTTCAAGCATTGGGTCTTTGAAAGACTCTGATTTGATTGAGATTGGGAATTGCTTCCCTTTTCTGGAGGTGGTTGATATTAGCTATCCTGACCATGGATGTGGGTTTTCCCTAATGGATCGTTGGATTCAAAGAGTTTTCCGGGTTTGATTACTGATTATGGGATCCTTGGTTTGGCCTCGACGCTCAGGAGATTGCGAAAGATTGATCTTTCTGGTTATCCCTTTGTAACTGATTAAGCTCTTGTTAGTTTATCGTTGAATTGTTTGCTTTTGAGTGAAATTGGGATTCATTATTTGCGATTTCATTACCCAGAATGGAATTGCTTTGGCTCTGCGTAAAATGGTAATTTGAAGTCAATTTTCAGGAATGGAACTGGAATTCCTTCTATAGATGTATGTTTTGAGGATTCTGTTGCCTATGCGAGAGGTTTATGCGAGCTTGATCTCTCCAATTCGTTTGTATCTGACGAATTGTTGTGTTTAGTTGCTGAAGCACGCCTTCCATTGCACAAGCTTGTTCTCTCTCGTTGCTTTTGTTTTACTTTTGATGGGATTTATTTTCTCTTGTCTAAGTACCAGTCTCTTACGTACTTGGATCTTGAAGGAGCAGATTTTCTCAATGATGAGTCCATGATAGAATTGACCAAGTTTCTTGGTAATTTAACCTTTATAAACCTTAGTTTATGCTCTAAGCTAACGAATTCAACTTTCTTCAATCTTAAGAGAAACTGTCCTTTGCTAAGTATTATCAATATGGGGAGAACGAATCTTGGGGTGGAGGAATTTCCAACTGAAATTGTGGTGAATCCTCGAGTTAAGTCACTATACTTTGCTTGGAATAATAGTTTAAATGATGAATGCATAAAAATGGCTGCCAATGTTTGCCCCAATTTAGAAGCACTTGATGTTACCTACTTCTCGGGTATTACAGAAGAAGGCATCTTGGCAATTTTGAAGAGTTGTTTGCAGATTAGGTGTTTACAGATTAGTAGATGTGAAGGGGTTAAGAATCTTGAAATAGACTTTTAACTTCCTAAACTAGAGGCTTTGCAAACAGAGGGGTTGGGAATTAATGATGAGGCATTGACTTCGATTTCAAAGATATGTTGTCAGCTATCACATTTGAGTTTGGAAGGTTGCTTGAATGTGACTGCAAGAGGAGTTGAAGGCGTGATTGTAAACAGCAAAGCATTAAAGGAGATGAATTTGAGATGGTATAATAATGTGAGTGTAGATATTGTAGCTTGGATGGTGCTTTCAAAGCCATCTTTGAGGAAAATTACCCTGCCATGTGGTTCTGTTCCTACTGTAAGCCAAAGGAATTTTTTTCTTGCGCCATCGATGTTTAGTCTGTAAAGGCTAGCTTGTCGACAGAAGTGGAAGGATACCTCCATTTAATTTAATTTAATTTTTTTTTAATTTAAATATCAATGTGTGCAATTGCATTGTTGAAGCTATGTGATGACCACAATTGCTTCATATGTGAACCAGTCATTTTATATTTGCTTTATTTTATTATTGCCTTACAATTTGACAGAATTGTTTGATAAACTGTGTATTGATAGTGTGCTATGATACAGAAGTTATAATAAATTGATTTCACTTCAGACTGTGTTTTAATTTATTTGTTCGATTGATTTATTTAGATTGGCCTGTTGTTTGGTTGTAGGTTGCATTACTTTCATTCAAGGAAGTCATGTGTTAGTGTGCTTGATGCCTTAGTGAGTTAATCTACTCCTTTTGGATTTATAATGAACTGGGATGGGATTGGTCTCACAAGTTATTTATTGCCTAATATATTATTGGAAATGAAGTTAGAGCTAAATCATTTTACCTGTCATTCTCTCTTGCTAAATTTATATGCCAGATTAAATCGAAGCATTTTGTGTCTTCAAAATAAATACTAGTTTGAATTCCTTTTTGGTAGCATTATAATATAAGGATTATCCTATGCACTGGTGGTTTAGATTTTAAACTCTACTAGCAGGTTTACATGATTGGGTTAATGTTATGAATGGCCCTTGAACTATAGTAAAATGTTCAATGTAATACTTGAATTTTAAAAATCTCTAATGTAATACCTAGATTATAAATTTGTTAAATAATGTGGTATTTATCTTTAACGTGGCTAGTTCTAAATGATAACACATGGTACACAAATAACCCTTCAAATACTACAATAGTTAATAAGTTCATAGTTCAAGTACTATATTATAGATTTTTAAAGTGGATGTGTTACATTGAACATTTTACTATAATCCAAGGGCTATTTATAACATTAACCCTATAAGATTTGATTAACTGCCTCATTAATTAAGCGTTTTCTTTTTCTTTTTCATTTTTTTTGTCATTTTTACTTGGAGTGAAGTGAGCTTTTTCCAATTTATTTTAGCAGTGCCAAGTTTATTTTCAATATCAACAGCTCCAACATCATCTATGGCATGTACCGGTAACACAAAGAGAATTATATATGGCTCGCGCCACGTGTTTTGTTCAACAGTTATATAGGCACACAATATATATGCACACATAAACATCCAAGCATTCTCTGCAACTTTCTTTATAATAGTCTTGGTAGGATATCATGCTCTTCATCAAATGTGTTTTGAAGGCAACGCAACATGCTTGCGATATTCAGCTAGTGCCTAGGTGGGGAAAGTTTTCCTATATGAAGCGTAGTGTGCATGCAATTCCTCGTGACAACTCCTGTCATTTCTCCTGCCGATATGAAGTATTGATTAAACATTTGTAACTAGCATATTTCCTGGATTCCATGCCAAAATTCCCTCCCTTTTGTTCTTTTTTATGTTGTTTTTTAATAAGTGTGTATTTTGGGATTTTTTTGTTCCTTTACTGCGTGTGCTTTAATATCAAGCTCTTCTCATAGAAAATTTATCAGTGAACCAAGTCTAAAGATTGAAGTCATAGTTGTTGGGGAACTAATTTGGAACACTATCCATTTTCTGTCATTCAAGTTATTCTTGGGAATTGTAAGATTGTGGTTGACAAATCTTTGAAACTCTTGATTTTCATGCTATGTAAGGATGTGGATATGTTTCTAAACAAATCCAACTGCAATTTTTATATCCATGCCTTCCAAGTAGAGCTTAATTCAAAGGCACAATAACCTGTAATGATAATATAACATTGTCAGTCATAGAATTTCTCTGGTCGCATCCTTGAGAAATATAGGCAACACTGTAGAACAATAAATACCTGCTGTTGCCACAGCATATTTCGTTCTTCTGTACATATAGAGAGATTCGCTGAGGCTTAGAAATTAATTAATTATATAATAATGAGGTATATTTTCGCAAAGTTGATGATCTTAAAAGTTTCATCAAGAGAAATGCGATGGAGAAATTGTTCAATAACCTGCATTTTACATTCTATCTTCGATCCAACAAGCAAGCAAATGCTTAAAGATTGCTTAATCCAAGTTCCAAGTAGCTTATACGAGTCTTGATAAATAGGCATTGCATCACAAATAAAATTGAGCGTTAAGCGATCGTCGGTTTGATTCATCAGTCAAGAACAAATCAACATACCAGAAATTGTCCATTGTTTCACAACTTAAAATCTTCAAATCAATTACAAAAAGGTTGAGAGTTTTCTTTAATTTCATTCCTCTGCCGTTCGTTATTTCTGGTTTCTCATCATCACTTCTATTTTTTATATATATGACCGTATGCCGTTTTTATGAGGAAAGGACGGTAGTTTGTTGTCATTAGAATTCAATTCAAACCAATAACTGTACAAGGTTATGCAAATCTCATGTAGAAAAATTAAGTCGTGTGATTAACATATTTTATAATTTCGAGAGATTGTTATTATATAATTGTTAGGTGTATATAGTAGTTCAAAAAGTAAAGGGAAATTTAGTATATAGTGCCCTCAATTTATTTAGACACATTTCAAGTTTCTCATGTCCTCTTTTATAACAATTTGAATGATATATTTTTACATTCACAATTATGTTCAAATATAAACATAATTGGTAAACCTATGAATACAATTAAATGTGACATTAAAATGGTTTGTCTTTCTAAAATCTCTTCATTTTAAATTTAATTGTTCTCCGAATATGCTCCATTATATTGAATCGTTCATAATCATTGACAACATTCCAAAATATTAAATATTTAACTAGAACTTTAAAAAATAGTTATAAGTCATAAGGATACTGAATTGAGATGGAATTGACTTTATGGATCTCACACAACTTAAAAGCAAAAATCGATTCTTCCATTATTTTTATTGGTCGAATAATGCATATGTATGAAACACATGTTACGATACTGATCTCCTTTTTTCATGAAACGTATGTTTTTATTATTATTTATGATAATAATTTAAATACATTCAATATTTAAGTCCACAGCTTTACTTTTTTTTCAAAATGCAATAAAAAGACTTTCACCATAACATACAAAAATAGACAAAGTAAATTTTAGAGAATATTCACTTTCGATCACAAATCTCATTATAATATGACATCATCTTGATTTTTTATCAAAGTGATTCCATTTTAAATTTAAGTTCTTGAATTTTCATAACTTAAAATTAATTTCGTCTTTGTGTGGCATTAAACCATAAAGGCGATTACTTATGTGAATAGTTTAATCTTTTGTCCGACATTCATTTTACATTATTTTATATATGTACTTAATATTTACATATGTTTATGCTTCATAAAGTATTTAACATTTACATATGTGTATGCTTCATAAAATAAAGTACTAAATTTAATAGGCATTAATTGAGATCAACATCAGTTAGCACTAAACACAAATGCGAAAACCTTAAATTATTTATAAAAAACTTAGCAGGTACATCAACACTTATGCAATCATAGAGATTTAATGAATCCACTATACATATCTTTTAAGTATATTACATATTGTCTTTTGTATAAATATGTTTATCATAAAATTATATTTGATATCTAGATAATTAATTATATAAACAATAAATCCTAAATAATTAAGTAAACAATTATTATTTTATTAAGTTCAATATGTATAAGTATATTATTATCAATTGTTAATAAAAGTATTATTTAATATAAAAATAATTTTAATAAATTTTAATTATTTATTTAATATATATAAACTTTAATTTAATGTCATTTGTTATCATAAAATTATATTTGATATCTTGAGAATTAATTATATAAACAATACATCCTAAATAATCTAGTAAACAATTATTATTTTATTAAGTCTCAATACGTATAAACATATTATTATCAATTGTTAATAAAAGTATTATTTAATATGAAATAATTTTAATAAAATTTAATTAATTATTTAATATATATAATGATTCCAAGTAAGTGCAGATTGCATTTAATGATTCAAGCTAGTTAGAGACTAGTTGGTATATTGTGAAATGATATCTTGATGGAACGTTACTGAAGATAGTTGAGTGAGCATCTCCTTAGAAAGGGGGAGCTCATTTTGTGGTGAAGAGTTTGGATGTTGACTTTTTCTTGTGGTGGCCTGGCAGTCAAACGTGTTGACTTGGCGATCATAAGGATTGACCCCGTTGACTGAGTATATAGGTACAATAATTGCCCTATGGTCTAAGGGGTTTATAAAGTGACCACTTTCAGCTCATTGGTAAAAGCTATTGAAGATGCCCTTCATAGTGTGTCTTTAGGGCGAGGGATGTTGCCTAGGTGAGCTATGCTGATGATGCGTCCCTTTTAGATGAAGGACATTATTTCAATGAATTGTGCTAATGATGTGTCCTTTTGAGGTGAGGGACATTGTTTTGGCAAGCTATGCTAACGACATGTCCAATTAAAGTGAGACACACTATCTTGGCGAGCTATGTGTTTTGTCGAGATGTAAAGAATAGTAGGTAAGGACTTACAAAAAAATATTTGTGCCAATACTCTATAGTACATGTAGTGCATGTAAAGAAAGTGTGTCTTAAGGTGTGTTGTTGAGTATACACCCATGTTTTTGAACTATGTAATTGTGCAAGACACGTGTTGCAATAGGGTTGAAGAGTTGTCAGACATA